CCCCAAAACCCCAAAACCCCAAAACCCCAAAACCCCAAAACCCCATTAATAAATATTTATATTGCAATTGTAATAATAAATGTTGCACAAACTAGGACAAACAGATTACCGAGGGAACACGTAAGTGATAATACCCCTCTCATAAGCAGTCTAATTGATAACTTCTCAAGATTAACAATGCTATTAGATTGAGTAATAACACCAAAAGTCCGAATAGGAATAGTCCAGAGTTTAAAACAACTGGAAAGAAATGAATCTCACCTGTTATCACAAAAGACTTGCTCAGTAGCACAGAATCCTTGGAGGGTATAATGAACAGACATTGGGGTGATAGAAATTTCCCATTACAGAATTTCGTAGCTAAAACGGATCTCAAGCAGAACGATAGATATGATAGCTGAGGCTCTCTGACCAGGTATTCTACCATGAAATCTCCAAAAGGCACTATAAAAGATAAATTTAGTGTTTATCAATCCTCGCAGGAAATTCCCACCTTTAAAATCCTGCCTGAGGATGATCCCCGCACTAAGTCCTTAAATCTTGAGAAGCTGGGATCCATTGACAAGAAGAGGAAATTTAATGATGCTCTGAGGAAATCCAACCAGAGACTGTTGTGTAATATAGACTTACCTCTTGTGAAGAAAATAATGGAAAAGCAATCTAAAAATCAGGGTTCGCCGAGGTAAAGAGGTGGTTCACATCAATGACTACAACATCAAGGAGAACACTTCTCCTAAAAAGGGTCAAATAATGAGTTTTCCTCAGAAGCCTAGTAAAGTATTTGACTGAATTAACAATGTGCATAAGATACTGCAACCTCCAAGCTTGGAGATAGAGAGCCATACAACCTACCGGGATAATTACTATAACACTATTAGGAGTAAACCCAATGCATTCTACAAGACAAACGGATATTTCTCATATTTTTCAGAAACGACTCGGAGAGAAAGAGAGATGAATGACCTATACTCTAGGAAGAACTTGTCTAAGTTCCAAGAAAAAGTCCTTAAGGACACACAATGAGACAGAAAGGCTGCTTGTGATAAATTGAAGAAATCTTTTAAAATCTGCCAAAATGGAGGTAACTCTGGGTTGAACTATAACTCTTCCCATAAGATTATTGGGACCAATTCTAAGAATAGTAAATACTTGAAGACTAATGGTTGGATGAGCAGGAAGAGAAATACATCTCTTACTAACACTGGAGACAAGGAAGGATCAACAGGGTTTAAGTCAAGAAGAGCCTCAAATAAAATCTAGACAAAATATTTGAAATAAAACTCTTTCTATTTATTTTTTAGAAATTGGGGTTTTGGGGTTTTGGGGTTTTGGGGTTTTGGGGTTTTGGGG